AGCCGCCAATGCGGTCTCGCTCGGAGCCGCTTCCTCCACCCCGCCGTTTGCCCAACCCCGAGCACGAGCCGCCAACGCGGTCTCGCTCGGTGCAGCTTCCACCCCCGCCCCTGCCGTCTGCCCATCCCCGAGTGCGAGCCGCCAATGCGGTCGCGCTCGGCGTAGCGTTCTCCCCCGCGCCCGCCGTCACACCCTGCCCGAGCACTCGAAGTGCCCGTTCCGCCGCCCCCAGCTTCTGCCCCGCCGCCCCCAGCTTCTGCCCCGCCGCCCCCGGCCGCCTCCCAAAAGGTCCGTCGACGCTGGGACGCAATTTTTGGCCCATTTACTCACGTTTTACGCCGGAAAACAGAGCGCTGTCCGCGTCGCCCCGGCCGTCTTCCGCTCATACGCTACCGCGAAAGCCGGTACATAGTCACCTCCTCGGGTCCACATACCGCAACTGACGCGTGCTGTTGATTTTCTGCTCCTCTTGGCATCCTTGTTGTTGTGTTTCGTGACCTCGAAACTATGATACGTCACAGCCGCTTCGGAGGTTTCTTCCATCCTTGAGTCCCGCATTGCCGGTACTTCCATAGGCGGAAATGTCGAGGAGACTGGCCGTGTCCTTAGTATGTTGGGATAGGATTTACCACCGAGGTCGAAGCTGATGACGCCATTTCTTCAGGCGTCGTTGACGGTATCGCGCGCGTTTGGGGCTTGAAGAACGTCCAGGGTATGCCTTCCCCGGTACCTATCATAACGCCAGGTACTGACCTATTTTATAGCCGAGGAGATGGTGGAATTCTCCTCCGGTGTCCGTGGCATGTGCTTGAACTTGGAAGCCGACAACGTCGGTGTCTCCATCTTCGGTAACGATCGTCTCATCAAGGAGAGTGACACCGTCAAGCGTACCGGCCAGATCGTCGACGTCCCCGTCGGCCCTACTCTCCTCGGTCGTGTCGTTGACGCCCTCGGCAACCCCATCGACGGTAAGGGCCCCATTGAGGCCACCCAGCGTAGCCGTGCCTCGCTCAAGGCGCCCGGCATTCTCCCTCGTCGCTCGGTGAACCAGCCCATGATGATTGGTATCAAGCCCATCGACGCCATGGTGCCCATTGGTCGTGGTCAGCGTCGCGCTCGCGCTGCTTCCACCCCCCGTCTGCCGTTTGCCCATTGCCGAGCGGTTGCCGC